AGGCGCTTTCACACAGGAGTACTTTTCCCAGGAATAGTTCCGATAGTTCTTGAGATTTTGCGTTCACACCAAAAAGATCTGGAACTAGAACTTAGTTCGTACAAACCTTTTCACCCCTTTTTAGTCCTTGCTAGAGAGGTGGTGCTTTCCTGGGGAGAAAATGTTTCGTGGGTGTGCCGGCCACACTAACAATTTCTGATTGGCTGGGCGAATTGATCTACTCCTTAGTTCGGGGGAACTAAGTACCGGGAACTAAGTACCGCAAGTACTTGGTGTGAAAGCAGCTATTGTGTTCTTTTTAACCAAATCTCTCTCAGAGGGGCGTGGGTAGGGGCTCCTTATTTTCATCTAAAGTAACAGACAGAGAATCAGCGCTTTGGAAACAGGGCTGAAACAGAGGGGATTATGGGTAATGCTGCAATGATCTGTTTGGTACTTCGAGCCAAACACCTCAGAGACGTGTTCTGTATATATCTGAGACCTATAATATATTGATGAAAAACCGTATAATAGGGGACCTTTAATTAGTCTTCTGCTTCTCTCTGTTTAATTTTTCAGGCCACTCAAGGGACCTGCTTGTTATCGTACAGTTTCTCAGTGGAGTGCCCTGCCACTCAAAGGCACTCTTTCCTCCTGCTGGCTAGAGAGGCATTTTCAATAGGCCTGCTCACCAAAGCAGAGGGGGAGCTGGTCACCAGTAAACAGGAGCTTCACACGTTCCTCAAAGCTGCGTATTCTCTCACTGTCACTCACAAATGGCTTGGAACTCCTTCGTTAGTTGTGGCGAAGGCAACTGAAGCTTGCCAAAAGGCTTTAGCACATTTTTACGATTACTCCAACGCAGAAACGCAAGATAAAGACAGTCTGTGTGCTGAAATCATGCAGCTGGTCGCCCAAGTCAAGCTTCTGTTGCGAGTGGATCCTTTCAACAATTCAGAGAAGGGGTCTTTTATTCCCGACAGCTACAGGAACACCGAAGACACATCGGTGGATTTCACTCTGGAAGGTTTCGCCAAGGTGATGCAGAAATTCCAAAAGTATCATGCGTCACTGTGCGAAACAACCAACACAAACTGTAAGGGGACCAAAGATGGGGTGATGTTATGTATAACTGCACTGGGGACCACCATTGGTACAGAATGTGGCACAGAGGCCTGCAAAGTACAACCAAAAGGAGAGGAGCCACAACAGGGAGTTTCAAGGTCATCTGATGGGCCCCCACCTCAAAAATCAGACATGTGTACCACTCTAGGAAGCACAGATAACCTTGGCTCTTCGTGGCAGAACTTCTCCTTGAGTAGTTCAGGGTCTCCCAGGCCCAGAAACAGTGGCTTAAAAGAAAGCAATGCCGTTGAAAGTGAAGCAAATGCACGCCATCAGAGCTGTCTGACCACTGAGGCTGATGATGACAAAGTGCTGCAAATCTCTACAGAAAACAAGAAGCGAGATGTCAGTTGCAAAATACCTGCCACTTCCTCCTCCAATGCAAGTAGTGATTCAGAGAAGTTTGAGTTGATACAAGTCGGCATAGAGACACTGGTCACTGAGGAAGATTGGATGAGTGATGGTGGAGTGATGCTTCAACCGTCAGTAGCTGAAGGAGAAGTGCAATCTTTATCCCAGCTAGCTATCAAAGCCACCTCCAGCTCCCTTAGTGACAGCTTCGGTTCCCAGTCGTCATGGGAGAAAATTCCAGCTGACCTGATCTCACCCACAACCGGAAAACCGCAGCCAAGCAGCCTGTCAAAAAGAGGAACTGGCCAAAGCAGCCAGTCACCAGGGTCAGATGGGAGCTTCTTCCTTTTGGAGACACTTGATACCGAAAGCAACGATTCGGTTCGTGATCCCACACACAAACACCCTGTGGAGAGCCTGAATGTTGACCCAAAAATGGAGACCAAAGTTGACTCTATAGCAAACCCACACTCTAACCTTTCCCAGTTTGTCCCAGCACAGTGTGAAAGCTCCACAGAGAGTTCATTTGAGATGCTGGGTGATCCTCAAAGTGGACACCAAAGTAGCACTGATTCTCCAGATCTTCCTCAGGTGAAGAACCCCCTGTGCTTCAGCTGCCTGAGGAACAGCCCTGTAGCTGCTGGTGTCCCTCAGAGTCAGTATGTGTTGTCGCAGGAGGATTACCTAGCCCTACTGGCCGGGGTTTGCCATGCATGTCTGCTGAAGAGACTTCACAGTGACGAGACACAATTCAAACTCAAGACACACAGATCTGCCCACAGTGAGTTTGATTTGAAAGTTGTAGTAACTCAACATTATCTTAAACAAATACATCACCTAAAAAGTAACCGTTTGTATATCGATTGCACACCCATTGCTAGATTGAATTCTTTAAGACAACTTGGTTTTCTCGCATTCGTCTTAAAGGTCCCATGTCATGGCCATTTCTACTGATCATAATTCCATTGTTGAGGTCTACTAAAATAGATTTATATTGTGCAATTTTCCAAAATCGCATTGGTTTGTCATATAGCATCTCTGTATAGTATGTGTATTCACTCTCTGTCCTAAACGGCTTGTTGGAGCTCCTGCCCCCCCCCTCCCTATAAGCCCAGTGGCCGTCTGCGAGACAACGAGACACAGTGAAACCCAGCCCGAACACACACACACACACACACACCGGCAGCCTGACTGGGAGTTTGTGTGTGTGCTCACACACCGACTCACAGCCTCGCCACGTCCCGCCGTCTCAGGGAGGAGAAATCGGCGGAGCTGCAGCTGAGAAAAGATTAAGTGTGTGTGTGTTTGAGGAAGTCCGTGGATTGGTCAATTTGGACCAATCCACGGAATTAACGTAACGGCTCCACGGACGTAACGTAAAGGCTCCACGGATTGGTCCATTTGGGTCGTCGTTACGTCACTTACTACCAGGAGGAAAGAAGAGAAATCTCCAACGAGGCGTTCTGGGGCAGCATAGACAGGTCTTTTCTGTATTAGAGTTTTACTCGCTACAGGGTGTACTTTGAGGGTTTGTGACTCTGCAGAACGTTTACATTCATAAAAACCTTCATAACACACAAGGGGACGGGTAATAACCGGAAAAGCATGACATGGGACCTTTAAGTATGCAAACAACGAAGGAAAATCTTGATTTATTGAAGTTAATTGTGACTCATTTATTTCAATTATCCAGTTATATGCTCACAATTTCCTAAACACATTATTTTGCAGCAAACCTTACTATTTAGCACACTTCAGTATCCACCAGCACAAGCCTGAAACTGCTTATGTGGAAGTGTTTTAAATACTATTATCCAGAAATGCATGTGTCTGGAAGGTAGTGGGCCTTCACCTGGATACATAAGGATTGGAATATCATTTCTAAATTGTGTCAGAGTTTGAAAAAAGATGGCCCCACTGTACTTTAATTCATCATAAAAAAGTCTTAAAGCATGTGAACTGGCTTGAGTAACTGATAACATAAGCTAAGATGGACCTTTATTGATCCCCATAGGTAAATTCAGGTGTAATAACAGCAACAGAATAACAGGGAGAGTTCACATGAGAATATACAAAGGGATAATGAGAATACAATACAAAATTAAGTAACAATACAGAGATTACAAGAGTTAAACTCTGATCCGGTGAATGTACATATATACAGATATGTGAACCAGGTTAAATATATACACATTTAAATGTGCAGGTACCTATGTGGGTGAAAGTCGTATGTGCATACAGTGCAAATATTAATAATATTCAGCGCCGGTTATTATTGATGGATTACAGGTTAACCCTTGATTGGGCAGTCTAGTGGCTACAGGCACAAACAATTGTGAGAGGCGCTTAGTGCTGTGCCGAGGAGGGATAAAACTAAAGATAATTTGTGGTTGAAATGTTCTTTTAATTTCTCAATATGACCTCTTTTAGATGCCCTTCATTTGAAGTTCTCCAAGGCCACAGGAATGTGGACAGCCAGAGAGACCTGTGTTTACATCGGGAAGCCAATGGGGATACAGGGCAAGCAGAGAACAGCAATATGGGTGCAGTTCTTACACCAAGAGGAGAGGTTAAGCAGGTAAGCCGCTGCACAATCGAAGCACAGCCTGAACATAACAACTTTAAGTCTCACTTTATATCTATGACCTTAGTTATGTTGGGAAAGATTACCTGAAGCCAAAGGAGATCCAGTTCCACCTGAAAGATGTGGAGAGACAGATGACAGCCCAGTACTATGTGACTGAATTCAACAAGAGTCTATACGACAAGGAAGTCATGGCTCAGATCTTCTTCATTCCCTCCGAAGCACTTCTGGTGAGGCCAATATCCAAATACAGAAAGGTTTCTTTGGTTTAGTAGATTTAAAACCACTCCATTCATAATGCCCCTTTAATAGGACCACCTACATGAAGAAATAACTTCAGAGGCAGCAGAGAGTAGATTAGCCTGCAGCATGCAGCAGCCTTGGAGCATTTTTTTTGTTTAAATCCACTGTAATACCCCAGTACAGCCTCCAGTTGTCAGTTTACAACTAGATATAACCCTTTGATGACTGTAGATTAGGGATGTGCATCTCCATCACTGAGGCCGATGCGATGCGCATCTCGACACGTTGCCAGTAGATCCAATGTCCTGTGGGTTTTTGGTATATAATGTTACTTAGAGATGTTAAAAGGGAACATTATGGTTCAAATAATAGCTTAAGGTTGAGTTTTAACGGTTTATCCTTTTCATTGTCATTTTGGACCTCTGTTCAAATTAAAAACCCTATAGAATGGTTGCAAGACTTGCTCTGGTCAGTATTTAATTTACCTGATGAGATATAAAAAGACCATAGGAATAAGCAGGAACAGCCATGTTGATGATGAGTTGCATTTATGAGACATAATTTCCCTCCTCTTCTCTGCACTTGTAAATAGATTTTGAATGGAGATGAGATTGCGGGCTGTGTAACAGTGGAGCCCTTCATGCTTGGAGACTTTGTCAAACTCACCAACAACACGGGGAAGAAGGACAAGAGTTTCCAGGCTACGGAATACGGCCTCGCTTTTGGACATTTTACCTACCTGTTCTCTGACTGCCAGGAGGTTGTTGTCGACCTTCAAGGTGTGTGTTCACGGAGATGATTGTATTGTTAATATATGGGAACGTTTGCAGCGTCTGTTTGTGAACAACTGCTTTCTTTTTTCACAGGGTGGGTGACAGCCAATGGAAAAGGGCTGACGTACCTCACTGACCCCCAGATTCACTCCACCAAGACCCCCAAAGGACCCTCCAATTTTGCTGACAGAGGCCTCAGGTACTTCCTGGAGGAGCAACATGGACCAGAGTGCAATGGCATTTGCCAGCTGCTCAAATTACCTCGAGTGCTCAGACAGCCACATGTTCTGCCTTAGAAACTCTGAGGAGTTGCCAAGAAATTGACCTTTTTATTACCTAATCAGGGGAAGGTTTTATATATAAGTTGTTTGGCTTATTCAATATGAGTAACATGCCATTAATAAAGTGACTGAAACTTGGTGCCACATGATTTAGCCAAAATGAACCGAGTTACAATCATACAACTGATATTAATTATGTTTTTGTATCTACCTGGTCCTAATAACCTCAGACATAATACATTAGCACACCTTTCTTGTAGTTATGACTCGCATACAACCAATTTTCCCCCAAAATATAACTCTAAGCTTCTGATACAATTGTTTTTTGTTTTTTTTATCTTGCAATGATGGTTAGATACTTCTTATTTAAACAGTTGTACAACTTAGCAATGAGATCAAATCAACAGAATTGTGATTATAGTTACATTAAATTATCATTGAGGTGGTTTATTGTATAAAATCATACCGTAGAATTAACAATTTGGGCATTTCTTGTAATTATTTTCCACAGGGTTACACTGACTCACTTTTTGGATTTGTCAAGTTATTGCTAAAGCCCAAATATTTAGAAACAAATAAAGAAATAATGCAATAAATACACTTTTGTTTTGCTTTGGAGGTACTGTCTCTGCACCATGTGACTGGATTGCTGTCCAACCGGAGTGGCTACACCCTCATGTTACATATTCAGCTTTGTTGCAAAAGTTTATATAAAATAACCTTGTAGACATGCAACACACTTGACTTTTAAAATATATGTAGCCGTATTTATTCAACATTATGAGATTGTGATTGCATAATCCTTATGTTACAACTTTTACCTAACTCTTGGCACACTTTTGAGTCAAGGTTATATTTTTAAGGTTTCCTTATCAATGACAAACATTTGTTTAAAATTCCAATTATGATAACAAAGCATGACTAAGCACTTTTCCTATCTGTGCGAATCAGAGTAGAACACACCCAGAGTTGAGAATAAGGAGACTGCATGTTTGCAGGTTGAATACTAGCCTCAACTTTTACTGTGTAAGATGAGTTGCAGAAAGTACATTTACTCAAGTATTGTACTTAATTACTTTTTTGACATATTTGTACTTTACTTGAGTATTTCCATTTAATGCTAATTTATACTTCTACTCCCTTTCATTGTAGAGGCAATGTACTTTTAACTCAGTACATTTATTGAACACTCATAGTTACTGTATTAAAAAAATGCATAATATGCTGATATGGTATAATGCAGTACTGTACTACTAATCTACACAGTATTCGTAGTATCTGAATTTGGTCCACATTGACCAACTACAATACTAAAATGCTCTCACATGTATAAAAACATGATAATATAATACTACGAGAAGATCCATTCTGCATAACGAGTACTTGTATAGTATAGTATAGTATTTGTTTATTTGTCCCCGAGGGGAAAATGGGTTGCAGCACATCAAAAAGGCATTTAAAAAAGATTAGACATTACGTCACTGACAACAACATAGACACAGATTAAAACAAACAGACATAAGACAAGGGGCCTATAGGCCCTCATTTGCGAAATAGGGGGGACAGGGCCAGACCAGCTGGGTAAACAGTGCGTCCTAGCCATATTTAATGATGATTTAGCTGATAATACTTCTGAACTTCATATTCTTCTGAAATGGGCCATTGTGCAGAATGAGTACTTTTGTGTTTTGTAAAATTGCTGCAAATACTTTTTTACTTTAACCTTTAAGTTAATTTAAGTACAATTTGGAAATCCGGACTTGTACTTGTAGTGGAGTATTTTAAAACATTAGTATTTGTACTTCTACTTACAGTACAATATCTTAGTCCTTCCTCCAACACTGTGTATGATAAGCATAAATATTAATTCAAATGTGGGCAGTGATTGGGAATGTATTAAGTAATGCTTTACATCATGTGCTCTGAGGATTGAACAAATGAGGAAGATCATCATGTGCTCACACACCTTCACATCACCTGACACTGATGTCATTTATGGAGCTTTAAGCACACGTGGTCCTCCCCTCCGTTCAATTAAAATCCAGTCCAAGGTTTATTAGCCTCCATCATTTGTTAACACAAACAACATTCTTTACCCCTGACCCACTGGAGCTCACAGTCACTCTGTATGTGCTTTCTAAAAAGCAGAACGTATCATATTTCCCTGAGAAGTAGTGTATATGTTTCCCTTTACCCTGTCATGTAATTAAGCTAAATTTGATCTTAACATGTTATAATAACAGGTAAACAGTCCTCTGTGATCATAGAGTTGAAGTGTCATGACTAGGGTGAGGTAATGCTTTTATGATCTTTTATCTCATTGGAAACCTGATAGCAGAAGTGTTTCACTCAGATGTTTGACTTTAATGAGAGTTATAGGGTTAATGGTAAAACCTGGAAGGGGGTCTCTCTCCTGGAGCCTCAGGGACTGTGTTTATTAGGAAGAGAATCCCTTCTCGAGCACCAGAGTGTTTGTGGCTGCCTGACAACAGACAGTGGAAGCCATAAGAATGAAACTCTTAATACTGTCGTGCCTTCTTGCAGGCTGCCTGGCTCAGGAGCCTCGACCATGCTGTAAGTAAACTAAAAAGTGATTGTGGTTGTTCGATTTATCTAATTTCTTATAATATCTTGTGCTTTCTGAACAGTCAAATTGGTTGTGTCAATGTTTCCTATTGCTGACTTACACAGGGATCCAGCTTTATGTGTTTAAATCTTTAGTATTTTTATTTAATGCAATGTTGTAATTTCACAATTCGTTCCACAGCAAGTCCTCGTCTTCTCACCGGAGCCCTCACTATGGTGAGTGTTTATTGTGTTTTGTATGAGCATCATTAAGCAGAACCTGAGCAATGACTCAGCACAATTAAAACATGTGAAATAGGAAGATGTAGACTCACTTTTGAAAGAACATCCATAACATTCATATGTTTGCAACTTAAAACAAAGTATAATAATGAAATGATGGCAAACTATTTGTACCATGTCCACCCTGTCAGCAAGCCTTCCCACGACAGGGTGGACATGGTACAAATAGTTTGCCATAATTTCATTATTATCCAAAATACTTTTTCCATTAACTGAAATATATTGTTGAGAAAGGGACAATAGCTTTCTAAAAATGTACATTTTATATTATTTATGGAAGGCTTGCTGACAGGGTGGACAATGACAGGGTGCCGGGTGGACATTTTTGGCTAATATTAGCATTTAATGAGCACATGGTGGACCTTCAGTTATCAACATGATTCAGTTGCAAGGTAAATAAGTCAAGTGTATTTATAAAGAGCTTTTCACAGACAAAGTCACAAAGTGCTTGACAAGACAATAAGACATCAACATAGATCAATGATCAATGAACCCACAAAACACATGTTAAGAAGTCATAAAAGCACCAGAGCATAATTAAGACACAATAAAAACACAATAAAACAAAACTTACAAATGAAATTTAAAACAAACAAAATAAAAACATAGTACTAAATGAAATAAAATCAGGCACACCGGTTACCCAAACGCCTGTCCAAACAGGAATGTCTTTAAAATAGATTTAAAAGAGTCAACAGACTCCGCAGACCGTAGATGAGCAGGCAGAGCATTCCATAATTTAGGAGCCACAGCTGTGAATGCTCGATCACGCGGGTCTTGAAGTGGGTGCGTGGGACAGACAGTACATTTTGCCTGTGAGGCCTGAGTGACTGTGTGCTGTTTAACAAATATATTTCGAATTTCTGAAAGGTTTTTATATTAATTGACATTTCACTATGACAGAGTGGACATGTTAATTTTTGACAACTTCCAACTACACACATAATATGATTACAATTTCGAAATATAAGTTTAAAAACTTACTTTGCAACTAGCCAATGTCTCAGCCTCCATTGAGGAAAGACACAATGGTGGTAGTGATGTCAATGAAAACATCAGAGGGTTTTTTATGGGGCAGTTACACCTTAATGACAGGGTGGACAGCAAAGGTCAGGGACATATGAAAAATATATATGAATCAATATTA